CCTCTACTGACCGTAAAGTTTCCCAAAAGGACCTTGAAAAGGCCCACGGACCACCAGTTGATAATCACAGTCGTAGCTTGTTTTGCGGCTCCGGACACATTTTATTAGTGAGACAAAGCAGCACAAAGGTCTCTTTTGACCGTAAAGGTTGCAGACCCCTGCCCTCGGGTGCAGAAACCTGCAGAATATCTGAGAATAAATGCATGACTCTGTGTGCAGAAGGTAAAACTTCGTGTGTTTATTCTTCAGGTGTGTGTGCAGATGTTCTTCAGGTGTGTGTGCAGATGTTCTTCAGGTGTGTGTGCAGATGTGGCTCAGGTGTGGGTGCGGATGTGGCTCAGGTGTGTGTGCAGATGTTCTTTAGGTGTGTGTGCAGATGTTCTTCAGGTGTGTGTGCAGATGTTCTTCAGGTGTGTGTGCAGATGTGGCTCAGGTGTGTGTGCAGATGTGGCTCACCCAGGCGCAGCCCCTCGTTGGCCGAGCGTAAAGCTTCCACGAACTGGTTGGCTCTGAGCTTCTCCTGGATTTGGCACCTGACTCTGGTTCCTTCCGGGTGGCACTTCTCCGTGAGGCCGATGAGCAGCACGTTGTTCTTCGTGGCCCTCACCTCCCTCTGTTTGAACCTCTCCCTGCAGAGGGGGCATTTGGACGAGAGGTAGCCCTCCACGCACCTCCGGCAGAACGTGTGGCCGCACGAGACGGTCACCGGCTCGCAGAGCAGGAGGAGACAGTGTGGACACTCCGGGACGTCCATCATTACAGGGGGGGCTTGTTGTCTCAGCAGAACAGTTTTTTTCCTTTCGTTTCGTCAAAGCAGTTATATTGCACGGCCCTTTAAAATACCATCTTGGCTGGCTTCTCCTCTCCCCGGCTGGGCTAATTTCGAGCCCCTTCACCAGTTAAATTCACTTTTCAGAYAGGAGCCATTCATTCACTGTCTGTTAGACACGAGCAGCATCTTCCCTTTCCTCAAGCAAGGAGCAGGTTAAACGGAGGCAAATCCAACGCTTCCCTCGACGTCTTAAACATTAAAAAAATAACAAAAAAAAAAAGCTGAAAGAATAGGACTGTAAAATAGGTCTTTCTTCCAATTGTTGGTTGTTGCTCGCCTTTAACCCCTGTAGCGACGTCTCCAAAGCCACGAAGCTAGGTTACCGAGTCCCATTGCCTTACATAAATAAACGACACGTGACGCAGCAGCGTGCCGTCTGATTGGTGGAGAGGAGCGCTCTCAGCCCTGTTGTGAAACATAAGTATCCCGAGTTTCATAACTCGACTCTGGGTGATTAGTCCTTTATTTTAAAATATGCTCATGGTAAACACGTAAGAGGGTGATCATTATCTCGCACGCTTGTTTTTGTTGTGATATTTTAACTCTAGTGTGCACAATCTGTGAATTATCTTGACAAACTGAGGGRATCCCACATGAACTTGCTGACATCCGGGGGGCGTGGTCGAAGGATTGTGACAAATTCAAGGTCCCTCTTATTTATTTTTCTTAAATTACTTTAAATATGACTGACTTTGAAAAAAAATTAAGCAGTATATACACGTTTAATGCCGTTTTACTTTGTCAAAAATTTAATTGGAAAATTTAAGCCTCAAATACTAACTTGTCTGAAAAGCAGACCTGTAAAATGTCAACACCTAGCTTCATCTCCTGTGCTTCAAATTTGAACAATAAATTATTTTTAAATAAAATCCATGAATTTGAATAAACTTTCTAGGTCACCCCATAGAAATTTGCATTTCTTTCTAGTAACTGTGCTTGAATACTCAAAGAGCAACACATTGCTGGTTCTCGAAATGTAAAAACAAAAAAAAAAAGAGCATCTATGTCAACATGGTTGGTATGTTCAAACATTTTACTGACCTACACAATCAGTGGCAAGCTCTACGAGCAAAATGATCAGAGTTTACATTACATTTTAGTTTAGTAGTTTCTGTAACGCAGCGGAACTCCAAATGCAATCTGAATTTTTTATTGAAACTAGTGGGAAGACAAAAAACAAACATATAAAACAAAGTTTTAGGGCCACAGATAAAAATAAAAACAGTAAGTTTCCCTTTCTTTGAGTTTTGAGAATAAAGCGTAAATATTGACAGATACGTCACAAAGTTCAAAAAATAAATTACTTCAAGACTTCGCCTGAGGAAGTGAACTCGACTGTATCGATTTCATTTGTTGTTAGGCATCTGACAGTTGTGTGCACACTTATTGGATTAATAACAACAGCAGTATTTCAGCTGAAGCAGCCAGAGGTGCGGTTTATTGCTCCCAATGCAGAACTGACAGGACTTCTTCCAGTCCTTCAAAATAAAATAAAAAATCTAGTGTTCACCTCAATAACTTCTCTCTTTAGAACTGACACTTATGAAAACAGATTACATTATTTAGTAAATTGSTTCTTGCAGCCTAGATTACGCTGCATTTTTAAAATAATTTAAATATATTTTAGACTCTTATTTTGAAGGATTAAAACAAGTTCTGTGAGTTTTGCTGGAGTGGGAGTAATAAGCTTCTTCATGGACAGGTTAAACTAACATTTTGCATGTTTTAATTTAGTTAAGCCTGTAAACGAACATCTATAGCATCAAGWGCAACAGARTCATAAAACAGTCATGTTCAGAAGYACAGTGGGGTCGACCTCTTMTAAATAAGTCTTGAATGACAACTTTGTGACATTTTCTTACAAGTTTAACATTTTATTAATATTTACACTTTAATATCGAAACTCAAAACRACTGTGTTCATTTTTTGCTTCTGCGAGTGGCCCTGATTCGTTGTTTTAAAATCCCTGCGATTATTTCCACAAGAAATCTTTAACAGAAAACATTTCAAGCAAAAAATAATAATAATGTAAATTTTATGTCATGTGAAGTGAAAACAAAAAAACAAACGAGTACACAAATGAAATCTAGGCGATTTCATCAATTATACTACACATGGCAGCATCTTTGTCCAACATTTTGTCCCTCTTTGAACTGGGGACATTTTTGTCCTGAACACCTGCTGCCATGCAGCTGGCGCCTGATTCCTCCACATCCATCGGTTCTGTTTTCAGGACTGTCGCCTGTCCAGAGGAACAACTGAAGTTGGCGCCGGCGGGCACGCTCTTCGCCCCGCTGCAAATCCCGTCTGCGACTTCAGACTGGGGCAAGTCGTCAGGCAGGGAGGCGAGACACTGCTGGATCATCTCCACCACCCTCTCTAGRTGTTTCTGGAACCTCTCCGCCGTCTCCAGCCTCTGCCTCTTCTGCACCTCCATCATCACCCTCAGTGTCTCTCGGGCTTGGTGTGGCCTGTACTCGTTGATGAGGTGGTGCATGTGAACGAACAGAAGCTTTATGTCCTCCAGCTTCTCTTCACGCTTTATACTGCCAGGACTCTTGATCAGGATGCCCAGAAGGTCCAGGAAGTTGACCAGAATGGACATGTTTAGCTTCTTGAGCTCCCGCTTGTGGTCAAACTGCATGGGGTGGAGCCTCTCGATGCCCTGGCTCTCCAGAGGTCGGATGATGAGGTCATCGCATTGGAACTGGTTCCCGAACATCATGTAGCTGTCCCTGATGGGTGGAGGCGGCTTAGGCGCCAGACCTTTACGAATATTTTCATCGGTGTACTCCTTAATGTACTGCATAGGTGGAGGGGGCAGGGCACTGACCTGCTGCGGTTCACCCATGGTGCAGACCTGAAAAACACAGCACAGTGTTTTTTTCTTGTGAACAAGACAGCTACTGAAGTAGGGCTGCCACGATTAGTCGATTAATCGACGACTAATCGATTATTAAAATAATCGATGACTAATTTAATAATTGATTAATCGTTCTTTTTTTTGTTCTTTACTTTGTTTTTCTCTCCAAACTGCTTTGACACCTTCCAC